GGGGCGCGGGGGCCGCGCTGGGGGTTGTAGCTAGGGGTTTGGGGGTCAGGGGGCGGCCGCACCTGAAGGCTTGTGATGTTGGAGCGCGGGATATTGGCGCCGGCTCGGGCCAGGGGGCGGCGGATGGGCACCAGAGGGTCCAGCAGGGCCCCGAGCTGTGGGCCGTGGCCGCAGGCCTCGGCGATCTGGGAGGGGGCGTTCAAAACGACAGCTGTTGGTGATCTGGGGGGACCCATGCATGAGAGCCTCCGTGCATCGCCAGTCAGGGCTCAGGGTGGCCGCCACATCAGGGTTTTCGACGGAACATGGAATTAAATGCATCTTGATTCGGACGCTCCAGGCAACAGGTGTGTCCATGGAGATGGTGAAGAGTCTTGGGTGGTGCCGTGAGAGGAGGGGGTGCGCACGACGCTGACTCACCTCCTCCTGTCACTGCACTCCACAACTCAAAGGGTTTGCATTAATGATGCTGTAACACGCCCCAACACGCACACACACACACACGCACGCACACACGTCCCCCAGAGGCCCTCCCCACCTCCCACGCCGTCTTGCCGCGCGAATCCAGCGCCAACCGTGGATCCAGGTAGGCGTCTGCCCCCCCAAGGCAGCACACACGTACGCACACAAGTACACAAACAGCACACACACACACACACACACACACACACACACACACACACACACACACACACACTCACCTCCCAGGCCGTCTTTCCGCGCGAGTCCAGCGCCAACCGCGGGTCAAGGTAGACGTCTCCCTCCCAAGGCAGGCGCGACGCGCCGGCGCCCGCAGCAGCAGCGGCCGCGGCCCCCCCCAGGACGAGCTGCTGGTGCAGCTGGTTGGCCTGTTGAGATTCGTTGTTGGGTTAGAATGTTAGGGTTGCTATTATGTTGTGGTTTGACTTTGGCGGTGTTTTCATAGGCTTCATGCCACACAAGTGCCTGGATGCGCATGTGTGTAAGCATATGTGTGTATATGTATGTGTGTGTACATGCACACTAATGCGGACGTATGATATATGTCGGTTTCCACATGATGCTGCACTCACGTAGCACTCCAGGAGGGCCGTGGTGACACTCAGGTGACCCCGCAGGGCCGCCAAGTGCTGCAGGCGGGCCAGGGGAAGGGTGGGCGTGTTGACACGTTGTGCACATTGCGTTGGCAGCGCGCATGCGCGTTGCAGGAAAAAGCGTGCTGATGGTTTTCGTACTCGCTTGGAATAGGGGAGGGCCAGCGGTCGGCCCGGCCCAGATTCAAGGTGCGGTGCCCGAGTTGCATCAACGGGCTTCCCCTCCGGCATTCGATTCATTGCGAGCGGCCGGCGCCGCTCGGCCGGGCGTCGGTCGGCCTGGCATGACTCACCAGCGGCGTGCTGCCGCACACGACAGTCCGCAGGTCACCCAGCCCGTCCTGGTTGCTCGTCGGCAGCATGACGCGCGCCCCCGCCGCGATCAGCACGCGCGCGACGGGCGCATAGCCGTAGAGCGCGGCAAAGTGCAGCGGCGCGAAGCCGCCGGCGGTGCGGGCGTCGACGAGGCGCCAGGCGTCGCCGCCGCGGTGGGTGAGCAGCGCGGCGGCGCAGCGGGCGCTGCCTCCGATGGCAGCGTGGTGCAGCGCCGTGCGGCGCGAGTCGGGGTCGACGGCCGCGGGGTCGGCGCCCTCCTGCGTGGGGGCGGTCAAACACGGTCAAACGCGGTCAAACATGGTCAAGATGAATCAGATTACGGGTTAAGCGGCGATGTCGGCCCCGTTCGCGCGAACACCGTCGAAAAGCACCCTGGGACGTCCCACCATTTGCTGCTACGAGGCCTGGCAATCACTCAAAGCCCCAACCAGGCTGCTTGACTCACACGGTACAGTGTGAGCCACTGGCGTCTCATCCTCCATACGCACCCGCCCGCCACCACCCCTACCCCCTGCCCCCAACGAGCGCTCGCATTGTGCAGATACACCCACGCACGCACGCATGCACGCACGCGTGCACCAATCTGCATGCAGGCGCCGCTGCGCCATTCATGGGCCCATGACTGACCGCTTGTCATGCCCACCACCAAAACAACATGGGCGCACGCACACTCTCTCTCTCTCACACACACCGTACACACACACACACGCACGCAC